ATATATATATATATAGAGAGAGAGAGAGAGAGAGAGAGAGAGAGAAGGTGGCACCCCTTTCCTAGCATACCTGAATAAAATAAGCTTTAAAAAGAAAGTTGAAAAATCTCTTCCACCAATATTCACCATTAATAAAAACTAAAAAGGTGTGTCTTAGTTTCCTGTAAAGTCAACTATCATATCCCTCTCTCAGTGGGGAAGCAACCAAGTTGATTGCCCAGTTGAAAAGAAGGTGACATTTTTAAGGTTTGAAAATAAACAGCCGAAATTAAGGGTCAGTAAAAACTAACAGTTAAGCCAGTGAGCAGGGAGTTTAAAATATAAAATCAGTCAGAGGATGAATCCTTTAATGACGAGGGCATACGAGGGTGGGGATCAGAGCTGTTTATACTTTTCCTTGAATCCCTGGATATCGGCCAAACCAGGGTTCAGGGTACTGTGTAAACTCTCTTAAGTCCTCATCCTAGAGTAGACCCCTCGGAAATTCAGTTCAGCAGGCACTCCAACCCATCCAGTTCAGTGGGTACTTTAAACATTACAGCCACTCGGGCCCTTTTAAATCACAGACGAGGGACCTGAGAGTAAGACAGGGGTATGCACGCTTCCCCCACGAGATAGGGAGGCAAGCGGATGGCCTCTGCGTGAGCTCGGGTCATCACCGAGGTGGTCAGTGCGGCTAGTCCACCCAGCAACCTTGTTTGCTGCCGTATGTGGGCAAAGAACCCCTCACTCCTAGTTTGAGAGTGGGGACTCCCTTTAGCCTTGTCCAGGTGGGAGACGCCTCACTGGCAAGGACGTCTTTGTAAGCACAATGGATACAGGAAACATCCTTGTGTACTTCTTTTTCTTCTTTCTTTCAGATGGAAAGCGTGTTCTCTACACTACAAAAAGACAGTCCATTAGGATGTATCCTCAAGAATTGGGATAAGTTTGACCCACAGACCTTAAGACGAAAGCGCCTGATTTTTTTCTGCACTCAGGTTTGGCCTCAATGCCAACTAGCAAATGGGGAGAGTTGGCCCTCAGAGGGAAGCCTCAGGTATAACACCATCCTACAATTAGATCTTTTTTGTAGGAAAAATAGGAAATGGTCAGAAGTCCCATATGTCCAAACTTTCTTTACCCTAAGGGACAAGCCAGATTTATATAAAAAATGTGAAGTAAATCCCTCGCTCCTGGCAATAACAACCCAGAGTCCACCGAGGGAGAAGGGGGAGGCCGCGCCCCGCCCAGGGCTGAGCCAACCTTAGCTTGCCCCAAGACAGATGAAGGATCTGGCCATACTTTAGCCCAGATTCCCTTCTCATCCGGGGATATGAGACAAATGAAAAGTGATCTAGGACAGTTCTCAGAAGACCCTGACAAATATATTGAGGTCTTCCAAAACCTCATTCAAGTATTTGATCTCTCATATTGAGACATCATACTCATATTAAACCTGCCCTCTCAGCCCAATGAAAAGCAAAATATACTAGAAAAAGAAAGATAATCTGGAAATGACCATTTTCTTACTTATGCTGGGGGAATAGAGGACTCTGAGGAAAGAAACAGGGATTTTTTTTTTTTTACAGGACAAGAGGCAGTTCCCCCCGTGGACCCTCAATGGAATCCTGAAACTGAGAGGTGGAAAATGAAGCACTGCCAGTTTTGTATTATAGAAGGCTTCAGACATAGTAAAACAAGCCTGTAAACTACTCTAAATTAACCACCATTAATCAAGGGGCTGATGAAAACCCCTTGGCTTTTCCAGAAAGGCCCAAGGAGGCGTTGGCTAAGTATACTAACATTATCCCAGATTCAAAATTCGGACAACTAATTTTAAAGAACAAATTTATCACTCAGGCTGTCCCAGACATCGGGAGAAAATTGCAGAAATTGGCTATTAGTCCCAAGAATACTTTAGAGAATCTCCTGAAGATTGCCGCCTCTGTGTTCTATAATAGAGACCTGGAGGAGGAAAAGAGGAGAAACAAGAGAGACCAGACTAAGGCTACAGAAATAGAGAAGATCATAGTAGCCAGGCTTCGGGAAAGCAGAAGCCCCAAGTCAGAGCCCGGAGGCGAACGGTCAGTCCCAGTCACCTGCTACAACTGTAGACAGGGTGGACTTATGCACTGGAATTGCCCCAAGAGGCATATTAGACCCCTGAAGCCCTGTCCTGTCTGCCAAGGAAACCACTGGAAGTCGGACTGCCCCCAGAGACTGAGGTCCCTTGGGGTGGGGCTGGCGACCAGTTGGCCCAATAGGACTTACGGGGCCCAGAGTCTCCCAACCTGGCTCCTCAGAGGACTGCCATCTCCACCCAGGAGCCCGGGGTAAGCCTGACAGTGGAGGGCAAGGAAATTAATTCCCTCCCTGATGCTGAAGCCACCTTCTCTGTACTCCTCCCAAATCTTGGTAAATCATCCTCAGAAGCTGTAGCCATTACAGGCAGGTCTGGGAAGCCAATAAGGAGATATTTTTCTCAGCCTTTAGGGCATAGCTGGGGTAAGTCATTCCTTTCCCATGCCTTCCTGCAAAAAGCCTCATATTCACATCAGAAACAATGTCCTCTCAACCCTGAGGCTCTAGAAGGATTCAATACTCTAATAAGTCATCTGTTTTAGAAGCCCAAGGTTTACTGAAACCTTTTCATAGTCCTTACAATACCCCCATCTGAGGGATACAAGCACCTAATAAAGGGGGAGGACTATCCTATATAATAAAAGGATAATATGCAAATTGACCCCAACAGCAGAATGACCAGGAATGACTGGTCTCTGACACACACTGACCACCAGGGGGCAGACGCTCAACACAGGAGCTGCTTCTTGGTGGTCAGTGAGCTTCCACATGGGGAGCACTGCTCAGCCAAAAGCTGGCTCATGGCTGGCCAGCACAGCAGCGGTGGCGGGAGCCTCTCTCGCCTCCGCAGCAGCACTAAGGATGTTCAAGCGGGCCTAAGCTGGTAGTTGGATATCGCCCAAGGGCTCCTGGGCTGCCAGAGGGGTGTCTGACTGCCAGCTTAGGCCCGGTCCCCCGGGGAGCAGGCCTAAGCCTACAGGTGAACATCCCCCCAAGGGGTCCCAGACTGTGAAGAGGGCACAGACCAGGCTGAAGGCCCTCCCCTCCCCCTGTGCATGAATTTTCATGCACTGGGCTTCTAGTTTCTTATAACTAGTAAATAAGACAGTGATTCCTATCCAGCCAATTGTTCCTAACCCGTATGCTTTACTTGCCCAGACTCCAGAGGACACCAAGTAGTTTACAATACTAGACCTCAAGGATACCTTCTTCTATATATCCCTACATCCTAACTCACAGTCCCTGTTTGTCTTTAAAAGATCCAATAGTTAAAGCAGTCAGCTAATATGGTCAATACTGCCCCAGGATTTGGGGGAATAGCCCTCACCTATTTAGGCAGGCCTTTAAACAGCCCCAAAGGCCCTTTTACAGGCACCGGCTTTAAGTCTCCCAACAGGTCGGCAGCATCGACTCCTGGATACATCTGTCTCGAGTAAAGCTTTGGACACCAGCCCAGGAGGAGGATGAAGCTGCATTACCTTCAACTGAGTCACCAAATTCCTATTTGTGTGAACCTCTAGAGGACCTGAAACTTCTCTTTCAAAGGGATCCTGAAGAGTCAATAAGTACCAAATAAGTAACAGTATACTTATCTGGTATTTCTAGATAAACAATGTTTTCATTTTTTTTAATTCTTATTCTGTCTTTTTATAAGTGTCATCTAAACCCTAGGCTGGTACCTGGAGGAGACCTTCCCTGTCCTTACTGAGACCCAGAAACACCACAAGATACTCCTACTTACAGCCCCTCTCTGTAACCCTGGTACAGTAAATTTCTCAAGCCATACTGGCTCCCCGAATCCCTAACTACTAAGTATGTTATAAGCAGCCCAATTCAGGGTCAAATAATCTCAAGTAGATATGTATCTCCCACATCTCTTTCAGAGTAAAATGTGTTAAATCTTAGTCTATAGGACAACTTATGCTACCACTACCACCAACCAGACCAGAAACATTCTCAAGCCTCTACAGATTTTTATTCACAGAGAAGCCCTCGGTTAAGCAGGCCAACATCTGTGCCATGAATAACACTTCTTGCTGCAAGCAGCTTA